ACATCCATCCCCATTCCTCCGATTACCCCATAATTTTCTACGGTCGCCCGCCAAAACATGTCGCCTTTTAATTCGACACGATCGTTTTACCCATGATTAATCGGCCATACTCGATATCGATCGATCCTCTCCTATTATTTACTAGATAACTTTACTAGAGGTGACAGATGACAAAGGTGACAGATGACAGAGGTGACAGATGACAGAGGAGACAGATGACAAAGGTGACAGATGACAGAGATGACGGATGACAAAGGGGACAGATGACAAAGGTGACAGAGAACAGAGATGACAGATGATAAAGGTGACAGATGACAAAGGTGACAGATGACAAAGGTGACAGATGACAGAGTTGATGGATGACAAAGGTGACAGATGACAGATGACGTTTGATAGATGAATGTTGGCAGTTTTGTGTATGAAAATTTGACTGGTATATAGCGATTGGAATTTATAGCGACGAGTCCGAGTAGGTTGTGGATTTGGAGAGGGGTTGGGGGGGATTTGGGCGGAAGAAAACTTGTTTTAAGATGTTGAATGATTGAAATCCTCCCGGTGTTTGAATAATGAAGGCGATGGCGGGAAAGTTTCCGCATATAAGAGAGAAAGAAGGCTTGGAGTTTTCGCCGTGGAGTTTTCCCGGCATTTCCCGGCGTCGGCTCGTTGTAAATCTTTAATCGAATTTTTGTACTTTGCTTTAGTTATTTTTTTAAAGTCGTTCGCTTGGAAATTTCGCCGAATGAATTTTCACTGAGAGATTTCTCGTAATTCCGTTTTTAATTTTTTTATTGGTTTTTTTTTAAATAATTTGGAAAACAATAACATTGTTGAATAGAGGATAAAGAGACCTTTCAAACGACATATCACAAGACTATACTTTCCATTTAATAAAAAATAGGGGTTGTAACTGTCATTCGAAGGGGGGTTGAAGATAGGCATCACATTTTGACATTGACATATGTCAAATTGTAATAAAAATTTGACGCGTTTCGTGATTTTCTACAAATATATACAGTAACCGAAATAATGAATTTATTCCTTTTGTAGTTTCCACCCTGTATAATTTCCTTTCCAATTTTCTATACAGGGGCTTTCGGGGGGGGGGGGGGGGTGAGGGAGGGGGTAATGCAGAAAATAGCCAGTCGAAAATCGATTCGATTTTAATATTGCACAAAATAATTCGTTTCGGATCGATCGGTTGCATAAATTTCGAGAGAGCCTTTCCATTAGGAAAGCCGGGGGTTTCCTGCAGGAGCAAAAACCGGCCTGATTTACCGGCCAACTAATCCCGTAAATCCGGCAACGTCGCCTGAAACCGGACAAGAACTGGCCCGATCGGGCGTCGCGACGCCGGAGAGGCCGATGGAAAAACACCCCACTAATCCCACTTCTGAATTAGACGGTTTCGCTGATAAAAAAAAATAGGGGAAATTTAACGAAAAGTCGACGATGTTAATCTTGGCAACAGTGTATTAATTCTCTGAATATAGCGAAATTTTTGGTTCACTTGACAATGTTGTATTTGACGAACAAATTCTAAATAAAGCGAAATTATTGGTTAACTTGGCAACAGTGTATTTACAAAAGTTCCCTAAATACTGCGAAATTTTTCGTTTGTCTGGCAACATTGCATTTGTATAAATTCCCTAAATATAGCGAAATTTTTGGTACACTTGATAGTATTGGGTTTGGTGAATAAATCCTAAACATAGCGAAATTTTTAGACAATTTGGCAACCGTGTATTTTAAAAAATCCCCTAAATATGGCGAAATTTTTGGTCAGTCTGGCAACACTGCATTTCCATAAATTCCCTAAACACAGCGAAATTTTTGGTACACTTGACAATATTGTATTTAATGAACAAATTCTAAATATAGCGAAATTTTTGGTTACCTTGGCAACAGTGTATTTAAAAAAAATCCCTAAATACTGGGGAATTTGGGTTAGTCTGGCAATATTGCATTTCTTTAAGTTCCCTAAACACAGCGAAATTTTTGATTCACTTGACAATACTGTATTTGATGAACAAATCCGAAATATAGCTAAATTTTTGGTTAACATGGCAACAGTGTATTTACCAAAGTTCCCTAAATACTGCGAAATTTTTGGTTCACTTGTCAACACTGTATTTAAAGAACAAACTGAAACTGAAATTAAAAAAAAAACTAAATACAAACAACATTTTTTGTTAAAATGGCAACAGTGTATTTTGCAAAAATTCCTAAATATAGCGAATTATTTGGTTAACAAGGCAACACTGTAACACAAAAATCCCAACAATTACAGCGAAATTTAACGAACAGAAAAACAAACCACGTTAATATGAATCCGTTTTATTCGTCCCACTTCTGAATTAAAATTTAACCGTTCGTCCCACTTCTGAATTTAGCGCTCCAACCGAAGGATGAATGACAAATAATATCTGTACACACAGTAGGCGGGACGGCGGCCGAATTAGCATATGCGAAGGGCGCCGGAAAATCGTGCCCGGAAAATCCTCAGTTATTGAATGAATATAAACGGAAAGTTACGAATTTTCCGCGCTCGAACGAAACACGCACACGCACGTTTGTACATTCTGTTTTGTACGTATGTGATTGGAATGGGAAAATTGGTTTAATGGTAAAAGTTCCATAGTTTCAAGTCCCAAAGGGGAAACTCCTCTTGGAAAATTTTCTAGCAAGTTCTAAGAAAATTCTACGGAGTTTTACTTCTTTTGTGGAAACTTGGCGACATCGCATTTGCAAAAATACCTTATTGGAGCTGTTTTTTAATAAACTTGACAACATTGCATTAGGGTAAATTGCATGAAAACGTAGAAATTGCATTTGATGAATAATTCCTTAATTTAGCGAAATTTTTGGTTAACTTGGCAACCGTGTATTTGCAAAAATTCTCTAAACACTGCGACATTTTTCGTTAGTCTGGCAACACTGTATTTGTATACATTTTCTAAATATAGCGAAATTTTTGGTACACTTGATAGTATTGTGTTTGGTGAATAAATCCTAAACATAGCGAAATTTTTGATTAACTTGGCAACAGTGTATTTACAAAAGTTCCCTAAATACTGCAAAATTTTTCGTTAGTTTGGCAACACTGCATTTGTATATATTCTCTAAATATAGCGAAATTTTTTGTTAACTTGACAATATTGTATTTGATGTGATGAACCAATCCTAAATATAGCGAAATTCTTGGTTAACTTGGCAACATTGTATTTGCTAAACTTCATTAAAACCAGCGAACTTTTTGATTAGTGTGGCAACACTGTATCTGCAAAAATTCCCTAAATACTGCGAAATTTTTCGTTAGTCTGGCAACGCTGCATTTGTATAAATTCCCTAAATATAGCGAAATTTTTCGTTAGTCTGGCAACGCTGCATTTATAAAAATTCCCTAAATACGGCGAAATTTTTCGTTAGTCTGGCAACGCTGCATTTATATAAATTCCCTAAATACTGCGGAATTTTTCGTTAGTCTGGCAACGCTGCATTTGTATAAATTCCCTAAATATAGCGAAATTTTTGGTTAGTCTGGCAACATTGCATTTATAATAATCTACCGCGATTTTTCGGGTTTGCATTGTTCCGACGCCGCCGGACCGAAAAGTCTCGACTTTTCATCGCGAAGCGAGCCGAGGACGAGGAAAAACCGTCTCGAGCGAGGGATTAACTCGGGAAGAAAACTTTGCGAATGTTAATTTGCATGTTCGCATCGGAAAACTCGAAATGCCCGGCGAAAAACAAAAGCGGCATCGAACAAAACGCCTTCTTCGATGCCCGGCATCGGGGCCCGAAAAGCCGGAAAAGTCGAGTGTTTTCCTTTTGTTCCGCGTCTCTCGGAGGAGAGATCGGCGGAAAGCGGTTTTTCCTCCCGTCGGGAAAATCGCTCCCTTCGCGGCCCGGGAAAAGCGAACGGGACGATCAATTTCGAAATTGCTTTTTTCCACGTAAGTTAATCGGTCGCAAAAAATAATATAGAAAAGCCAAAAAAAAAGTTCGATTTATAAGGAAAACACCGGAAAAATGCCAGAAAATTCATTTTCTCGAGAGAGATGAGATGAGAGAGATGAGAGAGATGAGAGAGATGAGAGAGATGAGAGAGATGAGAGAGATGAGAGAGATGAGAGAGATGAGAGAGATGAGAGAGATGAGAGAGATGAGAGAGATGAGAGAGATGAGAGAGATGAGAGAGATGAGAGAGATGAGAGAGATGAGAGAGATGAGAGAGATGAGAGAGATGAGAGAGATGAGAGAGATGAGAGAGATGAGAGAGATGAGAGAGATGAGAGAGATGAGAGAGATGAGAGAGATGAGAGAGATGAGAGAGATGAGAGAGATGAGAGAGATGAGAGAGATGAGAGAGATGAGAGAGATGAGAGAGATGAGAGAGATGAGAGAGATGAGAGAGATGAGAGAGATGAGAGAGATGAGAGAGATGAGAGAGATGAGAGAGATGAGAGAGATGAGAGAGATGAGAGAGATGAGAGAGATGAGAGAGATGAGAGAGATGAGAGAGATGAGAGAGATGAGAGAGATGAGAGAGATGAGAGAGATGAGAGAGATGAGAGAGATGAGAGAGATGAGAGAGATGAGAGAGATGAGAGAGATGAGAGAGATGAGAGAGATGAGAGAGATGAGAGAGATGAGAGAGATGAGAGAGATGAGAGAGATAAGAGAGATGAGAGAGATGAGAGAGATGAGAGAGATGAGAGAGATGAGAGAGATGAGAGAGATGAGAGAGATGAGAGAGATGAGAGAGATGAGAGAGATGAGAGAGATGAGAGAGATGAGAGAGATGATTCACCCTGAACCAATTGATTTTCTGGTTACTAAACGAACGAAAAAAACAACAACAACAAAAAAATTTATTGATCCGGTTTCAAGTTCGAGGTCGCGTCGACGGAGAGTCTGCCAAAATTTTCCAGAACTCGTCGGATTTTCCGGAATTTACGACCGCCGCCCGTCCTGCCAGATTTCCCTCAGTTCCCTCCAAAATGGATTCGAAGTTAGGTCGAAACGAGTCCAAAACAGAATCAAAGTAAGATTTTTTTTCACCCTGTATACAAGTAAATAAAGAGCGTTTTCCGAAACTTCAAACTTCAAACTTCAAACTTCAAACTTCAAACTTCAAACTTCAAACTTCAAACTTCAAACTTCAAACTTCAAACTTCAAACTTCACACTTCAAACTTCAAACTTCAAACTTCAAACTTCAAACTTCAAACTTCAAACTTCAAACTTCAAACTTCAAACTTCAAACTTCAAACTTCAAACTTCAAACTTCAAACTTCAAACTTCAAACTTCAAACTTCAAACTACAACCAATTTTAATCCTACATATTTTCATTTTCCTCCATATACAGGGCGATTTCGCAATGTCGAGCACCCTGTAGGATATATTCTTAAATAAAAAAATACCACATTGTTTAGCGAGTACAGGTGTAACGAGAAACCGGGAATTTCCATCGGAGTTTTCCGGCATCGCTTCTACGCGGGGTTTATTAAGCCCGAAAACCTCGTACGCCCGATATTGTTCTCTGATGGGAAATCCCCTCTCCGGAAAAGCCGGGAATAGTTTCCCCAAGTTATGATTAATTTTATTTCTGATACTACAGGCGGAGGAAACCGACAATGGAAAATCATCGATTTAATTCCGAGGTTTATTCCATCCCCCCCGTACCCGCCCCCTCGGGAAAGCTCTTGGCCTTTTTGTCGAATTTTCCGGACGGTCTCCGCGTTTTTCCGCGACGCACTTTCAAGGCGAGGAATCCTCCGATTTACTGGAGATGGATAGCCGGGAAATCTGATGGAGATGATGCGGGGTTTAATGGAGAGGAAGCTCCTGGTGAAAATCCGTTTATTACCTTTTAGAGATTTTATTAAAAATCTACAATCTACTGGAGCAGAATCTACTGAAGAAGGATTAATTGTTGAAGAATCTACTGGAGAAGAATCCATTACAAAAGCATCTACTGGAGAGTAATTCTCTAGAGCAAAATTTACTTGAACAGAATCCACTGGAGAAGGTTCCACTGAAGAAGAATCTACCACAGCAGAATTTACTGAAAAAGAATTTTTTAAAGTAAAATTTACTCAAAACCTACTAAAGAAGAATCCATTATAGAAGAATCTACTGAAAAAGAATCCATTCGAGAAAAATCTTCAATAGGAGAATTTACTTGAGCAGAATCTACTGTAAAAGATTCCACTGCAGAAGAATCGTATAGAGCTGAATGTACTACAAGAGAATCTACTGATGATAAATAAAACAATGGAGAAGAATCTACTAATGGAGAATCTAACATACTGATGAAACTACTAAAGCAGAATCTACTGATGAAGAAGAATCTATTAAAGGAGAATCTACTGATGAAAAATAATACACTGGAGAAGAATCTTATAGTGCAGAATCTACTAAAGAACAATCCATTGGAACATAATCTAGAACAGAATTTAATAAAGAAGAATCTACTACAAGAGAATCTACTGACGAAAAAGAATATACTGGAATGAATCTACTAAAGGATAGAATCTTCTAATGAAACTACTAAAGCAGAATCTACTGATGAAAAAGAATTTACTTAAGGAGAATCTACTGATGAAAAAAATCTACTGGAGAAGGATCCACTAAAGCATAATTTACTGATGAAAAAGAATACATTGAAGAGGAATGTACTGGAGAAGAATCCACTAAAGCATAATCTACTGATGAAGAAGAATACACTGGAGAAGAATCTACTGAAGAGGGATTTGCTAAAGAAAAATTCACTGAAGAAGAATCTACTAAAGAATCTACTGATAAGGAAGAATCCACTCAAAAAGAATCTACTAAAGGAGAATCTACTGATGAAGAAGAATACACCGGAGAATAATCTATAAAAGAATCCCTTTTGGATCAACTTTGGATATTTTTTGAAGCTATTCATCTTGAACCTATGATGTTTAGGTAACATCATACCTAAACTATCTGACCCACCCTGTATAATTACCTACCGGAGCGTATTTAGTGCAAAAAAAAAGTGCACCAAAAATTCTGACACGTTGACATTGTCAATTTTCAATGTGACGTTGTATGTACGATTAAATTAGGTGTTTTGTAAAAAATACAAAAAAAAATTTCACCGGCAATAGAGAATAGAGAAGAGCAAGAAGAAACAGGCACCAGCCGGCGAGAAATGATCCATTTTTAGGTCTACTCTCGAAAGTACCAAGAGCACCAAGACCACCAAGAGCACCAACAGCACGACCAGGAGCACCAAGAGCATCACCAAGAGCACCACCAAGAGCACCACCAAGAGCACCACCAAGAGCACCACCAAGAGCTCCAAGAGCACCGTAAAGTAATGATTCGAGTTCCATTCGAACCGCGAATAGTACAAACAACGATCCGAAACATGCTCTCGCCCGGCCACGACGATGCCCAGGCATGAACCCGTTCAGTCTCCGCTACGCCGAACCCGTCGACTTCATGATATGCCAATGGCAATTCGACAAGACCAAACCCAACGTCAAGTACCTGCTCTATCGCACGTCGGTGATGCTCCTCTTCGTCACCACCTGGATCCTATCGCTCGTCGACGACGAATTCAACCAGAAATGGGCCATCTACGTCACCAACTGGGGCTACACCATATGCACCGTCGAGGTGACCCTCGTATGGGCGATGCTCGTCGCCTGGACCTGGTCGCATCGCACCAATCGCGAGGTCTACAAAACCAACGCCCTGAAGCTCTACCCGGTCTACTATCTACTCTACACGCTGGCGACGCCGCTCGCCTTCGGCATCACCACCATCTACTGGACGGACTACTGGCCGCGTCCTCTACTGCTGCTCGACTTCCTGCGGCACGGCAACAACTCCATCGTGATGCTGGTGGATCTGTGGCTGGTCTCGCACCGGTTGCGCTACGTCCACGTGGTCTACCCGCTGTTGCTCGGCGTGGTCTACTCGCTGTTCTCGTACGTTTATTACGCGCTGGGCGGCACCAACAGGGAGCACTCGCCGTGCATCTACGGGCGATTGAATTGGGCCGAGCACCCGTACAGGACGGCCCTGATTTGCTTGGGCATCGATTCGTTCTTGGGCACGTTGCACCTGGTGGTGGTGCTGTCGTCGCGGTTCCGCCGGAAGATCGAAGGGACGTGCAAGTTGTTTTACGCCGGACACGATGAGTTGGTGGTTACGTGAATTTATCGGTTGCTTTACGATTTAAATAAATGGTATATATGTGTGTGTGTGGTAATGGTGTTATGGTGTTATGGTGTGGGTACTGGGGATTTATTGTTGTTGGGTTGGTGGATAGTAGATTTTTTGGGCTGTAGGTTTTTGTCTAGTAGGTTCTGCTACTGTTATTCTTCAGTGTTTTATACTTTATCAGTAGATTCTTCTTTAGTCTTCATCGATTCAATCTTCATAAGTAGATGATGCTTTAGTGAATTCTTCTCCAGTATATTCTTCGTTAGTAGATTCTGCTTTAGTAGATTCTTTTCTACTGTATTCTTCTTCATCAGTAAATTCTCCTTTAGTAGATTCTTCTCCAGTGTATTTGTATTATTTATGAGTTGCTTACGATTTAAATAAATGGTATATATATATATATATATATATATATATATATATATATATATATATATATGAGTGGTAATGGTAATGGTTATGGTGTTATGGTGTGGGTGTGGTGTGGTATTGGGAATTTATTGTTGGGTTGGTGTGTAGTAGATTTTTTGGGCTGTAGGTTTTTGTCTAGTAGGTTCTGCTACTGTTAGTTATTATTCAGTGTTTTCTTCATCAGTAGATTCTTCTTTACTAGATCACGAATTGTCTTCTTTAGTCTTCATTGATTCAATCTTCAGTGTATTCTTCTTCATCAGTAGATTCTCCTTTAGTAGATTCTTTTTGAGTGGATTCTTCCTTATCAGTAGATTCTCCGTTAGTACATTCTCCTTTAGTAGATTCTTCTTCAATGAATTTTTCTTTAGCAAATCCCTCTTCAGTAGATTCTTCTTCATCAGTAGATTATGCTTTAGTGGATTCTCTTCCAGTACATTCTTCTTTAATGTATTCTATTTCATCAGTAAATTATGCTTTAGTGGATCCTTCTCCAGTAGATTTTTTTTTCGTCAGTAGATTCTCCTTTAGTAGATTCTTTTTCATCAGTAGATTCTGCTTTAGTAGTTTCATTAGTAGATTCTCCTTTAGTAGATTCATTCCAGTATATTCTTTTTCGTCAGTAGATTCTCTTGTAGTAGATTCTTCTTTATTAAATTCTGTTCTAGAAGATTATGTTCCAATGGATTGTTCTTTAGTAGATTCTGCATTATTACATTCTTCTCCAGTGTATTATTTTTCATCAGTAGATTCTCCTTTAATAGATTCTTCTTCATCAGTAGATTCTGCTTTAGTAGTTTCATTAGTAGATCCTCCTTTAGTAGATTCATTCCAGTATATTCTTTTTCGTCAGTAGATTCTCTTGTAGTAGATTCTTCTTTATTAAATTCTGTTCTAGATTATGTTCCAATGGATTGTTCTTTAGTAGATTCTGCACTATAAGATTCTTCTCCAGTGTATTATTTTTCATCAGTAGATTCTCCTTTAATAGATTCTTCTTCAGTGAATTTTTCTTCAGCAAATTCCTCTCCTGTTGATTCTTCTCCAGTGTATTCTTCTTCATCGGTAAATTATGCTTTAGTGGATTCTTCTCCAGTAGAATCTTTTTCATCAGTTGACTCTCTTGTAGTAGATTCCTCTATAGTGGATTATTCAGTAGATTCTATTCTAGGATGAATATTCTCCAATAGATTCTTCTATAGTGGATTTTTCTCTGCTAGATTCTACACAAATTAATTCTGCATTAGAAGGTTCTTCTTCAGTGGTTTTTGCTGAAATAAATTCTGGTCTAGAAGTCTCTACTTCAGTTGATTCTGCTTGAAAATTCAAGATAGTACCAAAATAGTTCCAAGATTTATCCAAGATAGGTTCAAGATAGTAGGTCCAAAATCGGTCCAAAATAGGTCCAAAATGTGTCCAAAATCGGTCCAAAATAGGTCCAAAATGTGTCCAAAACCGGTCCAATGTAATCCCACCTAAGTCCAAATGAACATAAACTCCAGTTTTTTCCTTATAAAAAAAAACAGTTTTTCCATCTTCTTAATTCTATTAGATTCCTGCAGCGGGAAACTATACCCGGAAAAAAGTGAAAACTCCATCCCCAAATTCGCGTAAAATATTCGCGGGATTTTCCACGCCGGAAAATCCATCGACTCTTTCCATTCCATTTTGTTTTCTTTTTTTTTTTGCTTTTCTCTCCACTTTTTTTCTATTAGTTCGGATGTTTCGGATGTTCGACACGTTTTCGATACCATCAACACAGATTAGGGGATGGGGAGGGTTCGTTTCTCGAATCGGGGGGGTAGTTTTTATTCTAGATGTTTATATACAGGGTGGCCCGAAATTTAAACGAAACTATCCAAATACGAACCGATATTGAAGCGCATATACAGGGTGTTATGTGTGAATAAATATTACTGGGGGAGTTTCAGTATTGGAATTGAAGAAACTACCCTTAAGCCTTAATATACAGGGTGGCACAAACTTACCCAAAAACAGCCAAATTCAAACAGAATTGCCATTGTATACAGGGTGTTATGTGTGAATAAATGTTACAGAGAGAGCTGCAGAATTGGAATCGAAAAAACTACCCTTAAGTCTTAATATACAGGGTGTCACAAACTTATACCCAAAAACAGCCAAATTCAAACAGAATTGCCATTGTATACAGGGTGTTATGTGTGAATAAATGTTACAGAGAGAGCTGCAGAATTGGAATCGAAAAAACTACCCTTAAGCCTTAATATACAGGGTGGCACAAACTTACCCAAAAACAGCCAAATTCAAACAGAATTGCCATTGTATACAGCGTGATATGTGTGAATAAATGTTACAGAGAGAGCTGCAGAATTGGAATCGAAAAAACTACCCTTAAGTCTTAATATACAGGGTGGCACAAAATTATCCAAAAACAACCAAATTCGAACCGAATTGTCATTGTATAGAGGGGGTTATGTGTGATTAAATCTTACAGAGGAAGCCGCAGAATTGGAATTGAAAAAACTACCCTTAAGTCTTAATATACAGGGTGTCACAAAATTATCCAAAAACAACCAAATTCAAACCGAATTGCCATCGTATACAGGGTGTTATGTGTGAATAAATATTACATATGGAGTTTCAGTTATTGGAATTGAAGAAACTACCCTTAAGCCTTAATATACAGGGTGGCTTATTTACAGGCCTTAATTACAGGGAATTATATATACAGGGTGTTATGTGCAAATAAACGTCACAGAGAGAGAGTGAGAGAGAGGGAAAGGGAGAGTTATAGTTGAAAAATATATACAGGGTGGCCCGACATTGAAGCGGTGCATACAGGGTGTTACTTTTACAAATAAATATTATAGAGAGATCTCTCGAAAATAAAAAAATGGCGTAGCAGAGTTTTCGGTATAAGAAAATTATGCGAATTTTCCCTTCGAATTTTCCTTCGGTAATAAAAATTCATAAGGAGCTCCTCGATGTTTGTGTTGTCGGGTTTCACTGTTGCCGCTACATATGCTAATAATACGTCAAATTTCCCGACCGTATGTATGCGATTTTCCCGCTTTTCATCAGCAAACAAGATTTTCCGCGGCGCTCCCGCTAAATTGAATATATACAGGGTGTTTGCGAAATAAGTTGGTCAAACTTTGGGAGCGAGTAGAGAACGTGAAAATATGACGGAAAGTTAAATGTCATTTTATCGAAATGTCATTGGTTACCGATATACAGGGTGTTAAAGATGGATTCCTGAAGATGGATTTTTATTAATAATTTCGTTAATAGTAAAGATAAAATGATGAAATTTGGTACATGTACTCAGTAAATGAAATGTCTTAGGGTGCTGTTTAATCGGGTTAAAAAAGTTGTACAGGGGTGGGTTAAAATGGGGGGTACGCGGGGTTATTCTAACCTAACTTTTTTATTTTAATCTTTTCTATTGATTCGTTTGAAGAATATGAAAAAATGAAGTTTTTTACATAAAAATGGTATACTTGTTGATTTTTCGTAAAGTGAACAGTTTTCAAGAAAAATGACTTTTAAAATTCCAATACACAAAAGTATTGTCATCTTTAAAAATCTAGTAGGAATGAATTCTTTCAAAAACTTGACATTTCGATCGAAGTTTTCGTCATATTTTGAGGTTCTCTAATTGTAATAAGTGTATACAGGGTGGTTTCGGACTAATATAATCATAATTAAATCTACAGGATGTCTTGAATAATAAAAAAAAAAGCGTTCGTAAATGTTTGTACCTGAAGTTTGGGACATCCGGTATATACAGTAAAGAGAAATATGGCGGATCGTGCACGGCTATGTGCGATTTTTAATTATTAATTCAAAGTCGGTAATCGAATTAATGCGAATGAATGCCGGGTAATCTAATTGAAAACGATTGTACGAATAAAACTGAACGTATAGAAAATAAATATTTGATTTGGAGAAATAAGGGGATTATTATTGAATTTTTCCATCGTTTGATAAACTTCCGGTGTCTATACAGGGTGTCCCACGATGAGTTAAAACTATTTATCTAGGAATATTTAGGAAACTACTTATTCGATTTAAATAATATTTGGTATACATACAGGGTGGCACATTAGTATGGAAAAGCTCAATATATCTGTTATTGTAGAAGATATCAAAAAAACTTCATTACAAAAGTTGTAGATCTTTTTAAACTGCACATTTTAAAATTATTTACATTTATACAGAGTGTCTCGTTTTTCCGTAGTATATCAAACTTATACTTTTTTAAATGGAACACCCTGTTTTTTATTAAAAAATTTAATTTAGCTCGTTTGCAGCTTTCCAAAAATATATTGTATTATGTTATACTGAGTGGTTTAAAAGTTATGACCACTTTTCCACGAAAATCGTACTAGGTTTACCACTCTGTAGAAACTGAATGGATTGAATTGAAAATAAATTTCACGTTTTACAACATTGCAAATATCATGAAAATGTACAAAATGAATATTTTTTGTCAATTTTAATCATAACTTTTAAACCACTCAGTATAACGTTATACAAAATTATATTTTTGGAAAGCTGAAAACGAGCTAAATTCAATTTTTAAATAAAAAACAGAGTGTTCCATTTAAAAAAGTATAAGTTTGATCTACTACGCAAAAACGGGACACTCTGTATAAATGTAACTAATTTTAAAATATGCAGCTTAAAAAGATCTACAACTTTTGTAATGAAGTTTTTTTGATATCTTCTATAATAACAGATATATTGAGCTTTTCCATACTAATGGGCCACCCTGTATGTTATGCAATAAGATGAAGTTATTAAAAATATTTTGAGAGTTGTACCACTTCAGGTTATACCGGAAGTAGGCATCAACTTTGTTATTTTTAATAAAACACCCTGTATATTGAAGTATTTTCGAAATCTACATAAAATTTTAGGGTACTTTTGTCTAAAACATTTTTTTCAAAAATGTATACTTTTTGAGTTATTTTTTTTAATTTGACCGATGTAGACCCTTATAAATTTTTTTATGAGAATATCCTTAATGATATGGAAACGGTTTCTGTAGGAGGGCTACTAGAAAGGTTAAAGGTATTTAAATCTGTGTTAAAACACTTTTTATTTTATACAGGGTGTGTACAAAAAAATGTGAAAAGTTGAACTTTGAAAATATCGAATGTCTTCATTTTTTTCAATGGAACCACTGATTTTTTTTCTATTTGAATTGATGAAATCAGTTAACTTTGTTATTTTAAATGGAACACCCTGTATATTAATATAATTTCGAAAGCTATGTTAAATTTTAGAGTACTTTTGTCTAAAAAACTTTTTTCAAAAAAATCGTACTTTTCGAGTTGTAATTTTTTTTTTAAAATTTGATCGATGCAGACCCTTATAATTTATTTTTTTACGAGGACCCCTTTAAAGATATGGAAACGATTTCTATAGGGTGGCTACTAGAAAGGTCAAAGGTATTTGAATCTGTGTTAAAACACTTTTTATTTTATACAGGGTGTGTACAAAAAAATGTGAAAAATGTGAAAAGTTAAAAATATCTAATTTCTTCATTTTTTTTAAATGGAACCACCCATTTTTTTCTATTTTAATGAAATCAGTCAACTTTGTTACTTTAAATGGAACACCCCCTGTATTTTAATATTCTACCCAGTACTTTTTTTCTAGTGCAATTTTTGAGCACTAGATCAACACAACACTTTTTCTACGACCACCGATTCCACATATTTTATGCGTCATATTTACAAATTGAATATACAACATGCTCGTCGGTTTTAATTTTTAATTTGCGTCATTCGACCAGTCGAGAGTCCATTATAGATGGAAATTTCGGTAAATTAAACAATGACAATTAATAGAGATAGAGGGGAAAACGAGCAAGAGCAAACTGGCCGAAAACGGGGAGATAATCCATTTGCGAACGTTCGATTTTTCCGACTAATTGTCCAGCCAAACATGTACAAACACGTGATAAATACGTACACAACATGTATGTACTTGAATTGTTACGTGATAATAAATTTGTCTAAATTTGAAATTTTTTTATTTTTTTTTATTTGGCCATTTTGGCTCTTTTAATCGACAGTACGACACTGTACTTTTTCTACTGCATTATGAGTTTATAAAACATGTACAAACACGTGATAAGTACGTACACAACATGTATGTACTTGAATTGTTACGTGATAATAAATTTATTAGTCTGTATAGTATAATTCGTGCGAGAGGTTAATTTGAAATTTTTTTATTATTTTTTTTATTTGGCCATTTTGGCTCTTTTAATCGACAGTACGACACTGTACTTTTTCTACTGCATTATGAGTTTATAAAACATGTACAAACACGTGATAAATACGTACACAACATGTATGTACTTGAATTGTTACGTGATAATAAATTTATTAGTCTGTATAGTATAATTCGTGCGAGAGGTTAATTTGAAATTTTTTAATTTTTTTTTATTTGGCCATTTTGGCTCTTTTAATCGACAGTACGACACTGTACTTTTTCTACTGCATTATGAGTTTATAGATAGATCTAGTTGGCCGATTTTACAAGCCAGAATGAGTTGGATATGTTAGTTTTTCTACTGTATTCTGTTTGTTATACAAAAGTTCTTCACTAGTAGACATATTTTTTTAAATAGTTGAGAACAATCATTAAAATCTAGTAGGTAGAAAAAATATAGTGTACACAAAACAATCATTAAATTCTAGCAGTAGAGAAAAATATAGTTCAGTAAAATCAATAAAATCTAGTAGGTAGTAGAATAAATATAGTATACAGAACAATCATTAAATTCTAGCAGTAGAAAAAAATATAGTTCAGATCAATCAGTTAATTCTAGCAGTAGAAAAAATATAGTTCAGATCAATCATTAAATTCTAGCAGTAGAAAAAAATATAGTTCTGATCAATCATTAAAATCTAGCAATAGAAAAAGATATAGTTCAGATCAATCATTAAATTCTAGCAGTAGAAAAAAATATAGTTCAGATCAATCATTAAAATCTAGCAATAGAAAAAAATATAGTTCAGATCAATCATTAAATTCTAGCAGTAGAAAAAAATATAGTTCAGATCAATCATTAAATTCTAGCAGTAGAAAAAAATATAGTTCAGATCAATCATTAAATTCTAGCAGTAGAAAAAAATATAGTTCAGATCAATCATTAAAAACTAGCAATAGTAAAATTTATAGTTCAGAACAATCATTAAATTCTAGCAGTAGAAAAAAATATAGTTCAGATCAATCATTAAATTCTAGCAGTAGAAAAAATATAGTTCAGATCAATCATTAAATTCTAGCAGTAGAAAAAAATATAGTTCAGATCAATCATTAAAATCTAGCAATAGAAAAAGATATAGTTCAGATCAATCATTAAATTCTAGCAGTAGAAAAAAATATAGTTCAGATCAATCATTAAAATCTAGCAATAGAAAAAAATATAGTTCAGATCAATCATTAAAATCTAGCAGTAGAAAAAAATATAGTTCAGATCAATCATTAAATTCTAGCAGTAGAAAAAAATATAGTTTAGATCAATCATTAAATTCTAGCAGTAGAAAAAAATATAGTTCAGATCAATCATTAAAATCTAGCAATAGTAAAATTTATAGTTCAGAACAATCATTAAATTCTAGCAGTAGAAAAAAATATAGTTCAGATCAATCATTAAATTCTAGCAGTAGAAAAAAATATAGTTCAGATCAATCATTAAAATCTAGCAATAAAGAAAAATATAGTTCAGATCAATCATTTAATTCTAGCAGTAGAAAAAAATATAGTTCAGATCAATCATTAAAATCTAGCAATAGTAAAATTTATAGTTCAGAACAATCATTAAAATCTAGCAATAGAAAAAAATATAGTTCAGATCAATCATTAAAATTTATTAATACAAAAAAATATAGTATACAGAACAATCTTTAAAAATTCAACAGCAGAAAAAATAAATTGAGTAACTATCTCTTTTCAACCGGAAAATTTAATTGGTTCCAGGGCCTTCTTGAGGATCTTGTGCGTCTGCTGTCCCAGATCGATTCGCGTCAAATACCAGCCGCACTTCAGGAGCAAACCGAGCCAGGTAGAGTACATAAATAAATCCACGATTTTCCTTTTTCCCATTTTCTCCATTTTCTCCATTTTCTCCATTTTCTCCATTTTCTCCATTTTCTCAATTTTCTCAATTTTCTCAATTTTCTCAATTTTCTCCATTTTCTCCATTTTCTCCATTTTCTCCATTTTCTCCATTTTCTCCATTTTCTCCATTTTCTCCATTTTCTCAATTTTCTCAATTTTCTCAATTTTCTCAATTTTCTCAATTTTCTCAATTTTCTCAATTTTCTCAATTTTCTCAATTTTCTCAATTTTCTCAATTTTCTCAATTTTCTCAATTTTCTCAATTTTCTCAATTTTCTCAATTTTCTCAATTTTCTCAATTTTCTCAATTTTCTCCATTTTCTCCATTTTCTCCATTTTCTCCATTTTCTCCATTTTTCCCTCCTCCTTTCCCACCACCCCCCGGTTTCCCATCGGCGAGGAAAACCGTTTATGAAAAACGACCGGAGAGCTGGGAAAACCGGTCGCGCGAAAACCGTGTTTTCGCGTACGCCCGACCCGTTTTTCCGGCCCGAAGGAAACTCCCGACGATCCGGGCGGATTTTCCCGAGGCGGGCCGGGAAAGCCGGGCGGAAAACTCCGTCGTCTCGCGTGCATTTTACGCGCTCATCTCGACCGTGAAAGATATACGATTTTCGACGGTTTTCGACGGCGAAAATCGTTTTTCCTCGCTATATACCGTTTTTTTTTCCTTTTAATTTTCCCGTTTTCGAAGGACCCGTACGTGTAGGTACAGCGCGAGGCATATGTGCAGGGTGTCCCAATAAAGACGGCCTGTTTAAATAGGTTTTTAATAACGTTTAAACATGAGATTGGGCGCTTTTTATTGGGACGTCCTGTATATAATGAATAAATTTCGTCCAAATGGAAGAGAGATTGAAAATGCCTGTAAAATAAGGTGTCACAAGCCTACTTTTTCTTATTTGTTATACAGGGTGTCCCAATAAAAAGTTGTTAAATCAGCTTTAAAAACGTTTAAATATGCGAATTGGCGGTTAAATTTTTTACTGTTTATTGGGACATCCTGTATATAATGAATAAATTCGTTTAAATTTCGTTCAAATTGAAAAGAGATTGAAAATGCCTGTAAAATAAGGTGTCACAAGCCTACTTTTTCTTATTTGTTATACAGGGTGTCCCAATAAAAAGTTGTTAAATCAGCTTTAAAACGTTTAAATATGCGAATTGGCGGTTAAGTTTTTTACTGTTTATTGGGACATCCTGTATATAATGTATAAATTCGTTTAAAATTCGTTCAAATTGAAAAGAGATTGAAAATGCCTTTAAATTGAGGCGTCACAAGCCCACTTTTCTTATTTGTTATACAGGGTGTCCCAATTAAAAATAGCCCCTTTAATGAGGGGTGTACTAAATAATGATAATAACGATATATTTTATTTTGCTGAACTTTTTGTTAATGACACAAAAATTTTGTATCGACTGTACAGGATGTGTTTCATAAAAATCCCCCTCTTTTAAATTCACAAAAAAATCTTAATATCATCTTTTGTAGAACAAAATGTACTAATAATACATTTTTGAAAAGTAGAAGAGTATATTTTTCAAAATACTTCTATTTTTATAATTATTCGTTCAAAACTATAATCTCATTAAAGGAGCTGCTTTTTATTGGGACACACTGTATAACAAATAAGAGAAGTAGGCTTGTGACGGCTCATTTAAAAGGCATTTTCAATCTCTTTTCAATTTGAATGAAATTGAAACGAATTTATTTATTATATACAGAATGTCCCAATGAAAAGCGGGCCATTTAATCGCAATACCGCATATTTAAAAGTTATTAAAGCCGATTAAACGGGCTACTTTTCATTGGGACACCCTGTATTAGTGATGGTTTTCAGTTAGGGAATGAACATTTGAAGTAACTAAATTCAAATTAAAACACAAAAATTGACCTATTTTGGGCGTTTTTAATCATACAAAAAAAAAATGAATGTATTCATCACAATTAGGTTACACCATATACAGAGTGTCCCAAATAAATTAACATCAAATTGTCATTAAAAAATACACAAATTTCCACAGCACACTAGTATAAATACAATCGAATTAGAAACTCATTTCATTTCGGTTCTATCCGATCCGATCCGAGGGACACACTGTATATATATTTCATGTGGATATCGATCGGGCGGTAATTTGGCAAAAAGTCAAACTGATGGGGAGTTCGAACAGACTCTCGCACACAAATAAATAATATAAAAACTGACCGATTTCGATTCGTCAACAATTTCACCGTCGTCTCGGAAAATTCGACCTTAGAAAATTTTATATTTATGTAATGTTTGTAAGAAATGGTTCGTTTTATTCTACGAATTACGTGCAATCGATGAGAAAACTTTCGTATATTCATCAACGATTTGCTAATCAATAATGTATATTCATCAATAATAGTTAATCAACACTGTATGTTCAATTAAAATATTTATTAATATTTGCTAGTACAATAAAGTGTGTTTTTGAATATCTGTATATTCATCAACAGTTGCTAATCAATAATGTATATTCATCAATAATAGTTATTCAACACTGTATGTTCAATTAAAATATTCAATAATATTTTCTAGTACAATAAAGTGTGTTTTTGAATATCTGTATATTTATCAACAATTGCTAATCAATAATGTATATTCATCAGTAACTTGGCAATGCAACATTATTTCATTAAAACATTCATCAATATTTACTAGCACAATAAAGTGTGTTTTTGAATATCTGTATATTCATCAACAGTTGCTAATCAATAATGTATATTCATCAATAACTTAGCAATGCAACAGTATTTCATTAAAACATTCATCAATATTTACTAGCACAATAAAGTGTGTTTTTGAATATCTGTATATTTATCAACAATTGCTAATCAATAATGTATATTCATCAATAACTTGGCAATGCAACAATATTTCATTAAAACATTGATCAATATTTACTAGCACAATAAAGTGTGTTTTTGAATATCTGTATATTCATCAACAATTGCTAATCAATAATGTATATTCATCAATGACTTAGCAATGCAACAGTATTTCATTAAAACATTCATTCATCAATATTTACTAGCACAATAAAGTGTGTTTTTAAATTTCTGTATATTCATCAAGAATTGCTAATCAAGAGTACACATTCATCAATAATAGTTATTCAATACTGTATATTCGTTATATTATTCATCGTCATATCACATCATAATTATTATTTTTAAATTACAGTGCATTCTTCAGTTTCTGTATATTCATGCATAATAATTGCTAATCAATAATGTTTATTCGTTAATAAAATAGCTATCCAACACATTCATGATAATATTCATCAAGAATTGCTGGTACAGAACAAATAATTATTTTGCATAATCATCAACAATTGCTAATCAATAATGTATCATCAATAATTGCTATTAAAATACGGTCCATTCTTCAATTTATGTGTATTCATTAAAATATTCATAAATAATTACCATCAAGCTATAATGTATACTCCAATTTCTGTGTATTCATCAGCGATTGCTAATTATTAACGTATATTCATCAATAGTTGCTAATCAATAAGGTATATTCATTAAAAATTGCTAATAAATAACGTATATTTATCAACAATTGCTAATCAATAACGTGTATTCATCAACATTTGCTAATAAATAACGTATAATTATCAACATTTGCTAATAAATAACGTATATTTATCAACATTTGCTAATAAATAACGTATATTTATCAACATTTGCTAATAAATAACGTATATTCATCAACATTTGCTAATAAATAACGTATATTTATCAACATTTGCTAATAAATAACGTATATTCATCAACATTTGCTAATAAATAACGTATAATTATCAACATTTGCTAATAAATAACGTATATTTATCAACATTTGCTAATAAATAACGTGTATTCATCAACATTTGCTAATAAATAACGTATAATTATCAACATTTGCTAATAAATAACGTATATTTATCAACATTTGCTAATAAATAACGTATATTCATCAACATTTGCTAATAAATAACGTATATTCATCAACATTTGCTAATAAATAACGTATAATCATTAACATTTGCTAATAAATATCGTATATTTATCAACATTTGCTAATAAATAACGTATATTCATCAACATTTGCTAATAAATAACGTATATTTATCAACATTTGCTAATAAATAACGTATATTCATTAACATTTGCTAATAAATAACGTATATTCATCAACAGTTGCTAATAAATAACGTATATTTATCAACATTTGCTAATAAATAACGTATATTCATCAACATTTGCTAATAAATAACGTATATTCATCAACATTTGCTAATAAATCACGTATATTCATCAACAGTTACTAATCAATAACGTATATTCATCAAAAATTGCTAATCAACAACCAATATTCATCAAAAAATCGCCGGTATATTCGTCAACGAATCCCCGGTAAACGCGCACGTCATACTGCACATTCGTGCAACAAAATGCACCATTTCAAGGCCCTCTATATGAATGAATGTATATTACATGTACACAGGTAAGAAAAACAAATCTGAATTAATTGTTGCAGAGGTTCTCGTCGCAGCGCTATTACTCGTCCTACTCGTTAAGGCACAATTCCTGCGAGCAGACGTTCATATAGCATACGGCCCCCCCGTACAGGCCCTCCATGGAAATCGCCTCAAATCTCCCCTTCGCCCGGTCCACTTCGCTCTTTTATTTCTAATTCATCATTTTTTTACGTTTATTTTCTCTCCTTCCCTCGTATTGTTTTTTAATAATTTATTTAACGTTCCACCCTCGTATATTACGCCAAAAAACAAAAACGTAACTAGTACTTTCGTTGGGATTATTTTTCCACAGCCTCCTATCTCGTTGTTCTCTCCTGATGTTTGATATATACGAGGGGTCGTGTGCTACGGGGGGGGTGCCAAATCTCGACGGACTTGCCATCGCAAACGAACACGTAATTTGACTCTAAGTTATTGGCAGATGTTTTTCGCTATGTATACTTTTGTTTGTCGTCCAGCGAGCGGGGCGTGCGACTTTTCGACGTCGCCCCGTATACATATATACGAGACGGGTTATAATCGCGATGTAATGATGTGTATGTATATCGCGATTAGCCCTCGTATAAAATCGTACGTTAAAAACGCTGTTTCCGGTCGGTGGAAATGACATATTTGACAGATATGATTTGACTTTTTGACAATTTGACATTTTTAAATTTTGACATTTTGAAGTTTTGATGTGTTGGAATTTAGAAATTTTGAAATTTGAAATTTTGATATTTTGAAGTTTTGATATTTAGATATTTAGATTTTTAGATTTTTATATATTTAGATATTTTGATATTTTGATTTTTAGATATTTAGATATTTAGATATTTAGATATTTAGATATTTAGATATTTTGATATTTTGATATTTAGATATTTAGATATTTAGATATTTAGATATTTAGATATTTAGATATTTTGATATTTAGATATTTTGATATTTTGATATTTTGATATTTTGATATTTTGATATTTTGATATTTTGATATTTTGATATTTTGATATTTTGATATTTTGATATTTTGATATTTTGATATTTTGATATTTTGATATTTTGATATTTTGATATTTTGATATTTTGATATTTTGATATTTTGATATTTAGATATTTAGATATTTTGATATTTAGATATTTTGATATTTAGATATTTAGATATTTAGATATTTAGATATTTAGATATTTAGATATTTAGATATTTTGATATTTAGATATTTAGATATTTAGATATTTAGATATTTAGATATTTAGATATTTAGATATTTTGATATTTTGATATTTTGATATTTAGATATTTAGATATTTTGATATTTAGATATTTAGATATTTAGATATTTAGATATTTAGATATTTTGA